GCGGGAAGACTCAGTGGCAGCTCAGAGGACAGATGACAGAGCATGAGTCTGAGGAGAGGGACAAGGCCAGGAGGAGGCCTGGACCCCTTCCCTTGGGGCTGACTCAGCTCCCTGGGCAGGACACCTTCACAGGGACGCAGTCCCTGCCTGCTGCACTACCCGCTGCCTGTCTCTCTGCAGGGGCTGCCGCTGGGCTTGGTGCAGTCATTCCTGGCTTTGGAGTTGGTGCTGGAGTTCCTGGCTTTGGAGTTGGTGCTGGTGTTCCTGGCTTTGGGGCAGGGGCAGGGGCAGGTGAAGAACTTTCTAGGGGCTGGGTAGATACTGGCCTCTGATTTCAGAGAAAGAGGACTCCTCTCCCCACAGCATACCCCCAGTGAACCCCACTCCACTTGGGGTGCATAGTAAATTCCCCACTACGTTCTCCTGGGCACTCCAAGACAACCGGGGTAACAGATGAGGGACGGAGAGCAAACCAAGAAAGGGGACCTAGGGCTGCCAGATTTTAGAGTATCTACTTTATCAGAGGAGGGCAACAGGGCTCCAGACTGAGAAAAAGCCCACCCACCACCCAGGGAAGAGTCAGTGGGCATGGGTCAGCCCAGCTCCCCGTCAGCAATTCTCTGTGGCAATTCTCTGCAGGTCTTCCCTGTGTGGTTACTGATCCCCATCCTGGGCCCAACCTCTGCAGACCACGCTGAGCCTGGAGGGAGCAGGAGGGGGCAATTTGGAAGAAGCAGCACAGTCTAGGCCTCAGGAACCCCCAGGTTGTCAGTAGTATGATTAGATTCTAGAACTCTTATGTAGCAGGGTGAACTCCTGGCTCGAGAACCGTGACTTCAGGGTTTGAGGAAGGAATAGAGGCAGGGACTTCAGGGAAGGCTTCCTAGAGGAGGCAGCAGAATACCCAGACACAGAGCTTAGCTGCTGACCCCCCTCCCACTTTCCCTTCTTCCCAGTGCCTGGATCCCTGGCCGCAGCTAAAGCAGCCAAATATGGTGAGTGCACCCACATACAGGACTTGTCTCCCTGCCACCCCCTACAGCACAGGGATGAGGTGGTCAGGAGAGAAGTTTCTAGAACACATTAACAATTATTTCCAGACCTGACTCTAGCCTACCAAATGTCCACAGTGTCCCCAACCCCTGTGATAACCAAAAACACCCCTTATACTCCCAAACTCCCCTTGGAGAATCCCACTGCATGACAACCACGGTCCGTAAGGCCCCTCTGGCCCTGACAGTTTCACAGCTGGGGCCAGCAAAGGGCCAGGCCTGCTGTTGGTATGACACGGCCAGGCAGCTTGTGTCTCCTCGCCAACACTCTGGCCAGAGCCAAGGAGTGGATATTCCTTGTCTGGGCCCCCCAGCCTCCCAGCCTGTCTTCCTGCCAGCATGACTGCACCCGCCACGAGCCAGCCTCGAGGACGTGGCAGACCTGCCTGCCTCTCCACTTGGCACTCCGCAGCCTCGCCTGGCCAGACCCTTGCTGTCTGTGGCCCCTGCATTCCTGGCCTCCTGGGAGCCAGGCCGGGAGGGGAGGTGCCTCCGCCAAGGATCCACCAACCCAGCCAGTCCACTAGGGCCAGTTTCCACCTCGGAAAATCCCGGCTCACTCAGCTGCCACCCCCAGTGGGCTGGTTACCCATGCCTCCTCTCCTGCTCATTGCTGGCTGCTCAGCCGGCCTGAGCCAACAGACACTGCCAGGGAAGACACGTGGTGTCGTGTAGCAGAGCGGCTGTGGGCACAGGCTCCTGAGCACCCCTGCCCAAGGAACCTGGAGCACATCGCTTCAGCCCTGCTCTGCCTCAACTCTCTCATCTGCAAAATGGGGGACCTAGCACCTGCCTTCCCTGCTGCAATGCAAAACGAACAGGCTGAAAGCGGGACATGCTCAGACTGTGCACGCTCCATTAAGGGTCTGATGTAAATGCCATCGCTACTATAAGGGGCCTTCACGAGATGTGTGCAAAAGTGGAATTGAAGTACAAGTATGTGAGCCAGCCTGTGGTGTGGTGGTTAAGGCATCTGGGTCCCACACGGCTGACCACATGGTTCAAGTCCCAGACCTGGCAGCTTGAAAAATACTCCAGGCATGTGTGTGTGTGCATGCCCAAAATCCCAAAAGAAGAAATAGAGAAGAGGGGATTGTGACATGACCACCCCCATGGGGCAGAGGGGTATTTCCTCACTTTCCCTTTCTCTCTGTCTTTCTCCACAAGTGCACGCATCCTTTGGAAAAATTTTAAAAGCAGAAGAAAAGAGAGAAATAGGTGAATGATCTGTCCTCTCTCCCCAGGTGCAGGAGGCGCTGGGGCTCTCGGTGGAGTTGGTGTCCCAGGCCTGACAGGTGGGTTGAATCCCAGAACAGGCTGGGTAGAGTGGGGAGACTGATCTGCAGAGTCCCTCCCTGAGCTCCCTCTTGTCCCCAGGAGCTGGACCTGCTGCCTCAGCTGCTGCCGCCAAAGCTGCTGCCAAAGCTGCTCAGTATGGTGAGCTCTGGTTGGCGCCAGGCCCCCAGTGGTGGGGCCTAACCAGCAGAGCCAGGTTCCCTGGCCTGCCCTATCTCCCTGACCTACTGGGTCCTCTCAGGCCCACCTGGGTCCTTGGATGACACCTTCCCCCTCCACAGAGGTCTCATTCTTCTGACCAGCAGGGTCTATGCCCATCTCTGTCCGCAGGTGCTGTCCCAGGCGTCGTCCCAGGTGCTGTTCCAGGTGCTGTTCCAGGTGTCGTCCCGGGTGTCGTCCCAGGTGCTGTTCCAGGTGCTGTTCCAGGTGTCGTCCCAGGTGCTGTCCCAGGTGCTGTCCCAGGAGTGGTCCCAGGTACTGTCCCAGGCACTGTCCCAGGTGCTGGGGGCTTTGGTGGTGAGGGCTGTTGTGCCACCAGTAAGCGTGGGGGCTGTGAGAGAGAGAGGAAAAGAGAGCCAGACAGACAGAGACAAAGAGATAGACTCAGAGAAACAGACTTTCTATCCCACCCCTCTGCACCTTGGCGCAGTCTGTCCCCTCTGCCCCTAACCTGCCCACCCCTGCCACTGCATCTGCTCCCCAGGGTTGTCCGGGTCTGGCTGCTGGCTCCTCTGGCTTCCTGCAACATTTCAAGGGGGACTTGAATAAGTGGGGGCTAGGACTGCCCTGCCACTGGGCCCTAACCCTCTCCCTCTCGTCTCTCTCAGCCCCCCTGACCCCACAAGTGGGGTTTATTAGGATAATGCACATTTTCTGGAGAAGGAAATCAAAGCGTGGGGAGGAACTACCTTCCCAAAGTGTCTGACATCATGGTGGGCCTTCCATTGCCTTCCCCTCTTTCTGGGGTAGTCACGTGTGTCCCCACCTAAGCTGGCCTGAGAAGCGCTTCCTGAATGCTCCACAAGACCGACACAGGGCAGGAGCTTAATAAGGACTTCGGGAAGATGGCTAGAGGAAGGAGGGCGGAAGGGTGAAGGGGCAAGGGGATGAGTCCATGGGCAAATGGGTCTCTGGGGAGCGGGTCAGAAAAGAGACCCCGAAGCTGGGAGGTGAATGGCCTCCCTGAGCCTTCCTGTGCTCTGTCTCCTCAGGTGTGTCCCCCGCCGCAGCTGCTAAGGCGGCCAAATATGGTGAGTTGCCCCGACGCCTTGCACGCGCATCTCCATCACCGCCTCAGCTCAGGCCTCAGTTCTGCTCACGGGACCCCCGAAGGCTTTGTCCAAGATAGCCCTGACCCCAGAACCCAGAGAAGATGCGGGAGCCCCTCCCCCCTCCCCCTGTCCTGACCCCCATCTGCCCTCCTCTCAGGTGCTGCTGGCCTGGGAGGTGTCCTAGGAGCCACCAGGCTGTTCCCAGGAGGTAGGGGCCTGCTCTGCTCTACGAGTCTCCATGCTGCCGGGTCTGGAAGCCTGTCTGGCTAGCAGTGGGGGCTCCTGGAGCCTACACATGAGGACCTGAGACAGTGGGCAGAGAGGGGCAGGAACTATCCTGGGCAAAGGGGCAGGCCTCAGGGTCAGGGACTGTGCTTGGCCATGCCCAGAGCTGAGACCATGGGGCACCACAGAGGATGCTGGGTAGGGGCAAGCTCCGTTGAGAAAGCTACTTGCATGACAAGGAGGAATGGGGAGGAGGTGGTCCCAGACGTAGGGGCTGGGGGAATCCAGTGCTGTTATGAGAGGTGAGGAGATCAGGCAGGGCCCAGCCCTCCTCTCCCCCAACCCCAACTCTCGCCTGCAGGAGTCGCAGCAAGACCTGGCTTCGGGTTGTCTCCCATCTTCCCAGGTACGCCCAGGCTCCTGGCCCCCTGGGCCCTGTCCTGGAGCTCTGACCAGGTCCTTGCTCCTCCCTGGCTTCATCTCCTGCTCACAAGGGCTGACTCACTATCCAGGGTGGGCCCCATGATCTTGAAGCACACAGGCCAGACTGAGCTGACGCAAGAGCCCCTCCTTCTCGACTCCCTCCCTTACAAGGACAGGAATCATCAGCTTTTCTAAAGGACCCCTGGAGGACCGATAGCTTTCCTGTCATGTTCCAGATGAGGCATACTGAGGCTCAGAGTGACAGGGACCACTCCAGGGTCACCCAGTGAGATGCAGCAGATACCAGGGCTCCTGGCACCCAAGCCCAGAAATTGACCTTTTTCACCCATAATCCACCTGACCTGAGGTTCAGCTCATGCTGTCTGGGAGGGCTTACTGGGCTCCCCCGAGTAGCCATACTCACAGCCCCTCTCCCTGCCTTGTAGGTGGTGGTGCCGGAGGCCTGGGAGTCGGTGGTGAGTCTGCAATGAGAGAACACCCAGTGCTTGGAGGGGCCCATTTCAACCAGGATGCAGGCCCTGGGCTCCTTTCGTGGGTGGGAAGAATCCTGTTGAAAGAATTGCTAGAGTGGCCGTGGCCCTGGGCTGTCCTCTTGTCAGGGGGAGTGGACTTGAGGGAGTTCCCAGGGAAACCTCAGGAGTAAAGTTCAGCCCTAGGACGCAGGGACAGGAGCAAAGATCCCTATTCCAGAGGCTTCCAGCCCTGCCTTTAACTAGGCACCAGGGACGAGACAGAGTCCTAGGTCATGCAGGGCTGAGGGTCTGGCTGGAGAGACTGACAAGGTCCCACGGTAGAGGAGTCAACAGTGTAAGGGGGGCGCCAGGACTGCTCCAGCAGGGTGGGGTGGTCAGGTGGGCAAGGCAGAGGCTGGGAAGCTGCTGTGATCTGACTGCAGTAGAGTGGGGTGCTCGCTAAGCTGCCCGACCTTCCTGGGCAGGAACATGGGTGGACCAGGAGTCCGGCTGAGGGCTGTGCACAGACTGGGGGCAGGGAGGCTTTGGAATCTGCTTACACAGGACTTAGGTTGGGTACAGGTGGGGGTGCTGGGAAAGGCAGGAAAGCCAGGCCCCTTCCCCAACCTTGCCCTCCCCACCACAGGAAAACCTCCCAAGCCCTATGGAGGGGCCCTGGGAGCCCTGGGAGCCCTGGGATACCAAGGTGAGTACAGGTTCAGCCCCTGGGAGAGGCAGGGGAGGGAGGAGCAGACAGAGGCAGAGGGATAGGGCCCGCCACCTGCCAGCAGGGGGCCGGGCGGGGGGGCAGGGGCAGGGGCAGGGGC